CCTGGACTCTTCAGTCCCAGAGTTCAATCTCTAACACATTAGGTTTTGCACCACCTGTAGCTGGAAGGAATACTCCTTGGCATCACGGTGGCTGAAAATTGTTTTAAGCAACAAATATTTGAAATCCCTAATAAAATATTTCTGAACTATTTCTCCTCTTGTGTTTGTACCTAATCCATCTCCTGTGTTCAATTCCTTTTGCATTATCCCTATTTCCATCAACTTGAACTATCATTACTTCCTTTTTCATGTTCATCATGTGTTATTCCTTGGTTTGCATCGTTTAATCTGTCTTGGCCTTAGGTTTCAATCTTTAATCCCAATTATAAATACCAGGTAGCCACCACATTACCAAACCTATTTCTGTGAATGAGGATGGCACCATAGAATTTAACTTCACTGAAATGCTTGTTCCTCATGCACATCAATTATTCTTGGAAAATCAACCTTTTGCTCACGGTCAACTGTGTTGAGCTATACATGTCACCTGCTTCATTTCATTACTATTGTCAGGCTCGGTGATGCCAAGGCAATAGGCCTTCTAGCTACACCGGCTGATGATGCTGGTTTGGTAGGATGGAAAGGTAGAGAGTAACCAAGGGGCCCAAGTTGTGGGGGTTTTTACAATGCCCTTGGGGATACAAGCCTGGGTCTGATGTGAAGACAGGTGAAGGCTACTACGGGGTCTCCAAGATACTCAAGGGTATTTGGTCCGCGTATCAGAGTGATGGGCAGAGGAATAACCAATAAAGGTATTCCTTGGCAACAAATCACTAGTACTCAAGCACACAGCTTGAAGGGAGTATGTGGTAACAGAATGATATTGGAAAAGGATGTAAACTGGAAAAAGATGTGGAAAAATACTAAACTGGTAAACTGATGATTTATAGCTACCTGGTTTACTGGTTCTTTTTATACTGTAGTTACCAGTAACCAAAGCTAAAAAGGGAAAGGGAAGTTGAGCTCACCGGTCACCTCTGAGAATCTGGGATGATATATAATTTCCCAGAGCTTTGAAAGGAGAAATCTGCTCATCTCATGTCACAGTCTCCTGTCATGATGTCTTTCAATATGTCACTAGTTCTTTGAAGACATTTTATGTCATTCATGTTTGTAATATTATTTGATTATTAAATCTATTACTTATTATCTTGAGGTATTTATAGAAATATTGCAGGTCAGCTTGACTCTGTAATAGTAGTAAGCTGACAACTATAGCTACATTACTTGTCATGCTTCTTCCTGTTTTTCATTTCTCACATGTCACAATATGTGACATGTATCTTGTTTTCCATTGGCTCTTATACTGGAGCCAACAGTGCTGGAATTTGGAAAGGATTTCTCTTTCTTCATCCTTTCCAATCCTGTCGGCTCCAGGACAGTTTCTCTTTTTCTCTTTTTACTCTTTTCTTTTTGTTTTCTCTTCATGTTGAATTGAACATGATCTTTTCCAATCCTGTCAGCTCCAGTTCACCGCAACAAACTGTATGTAGGCTTGTCTCGAGTAAGACAAGACTCACGAGTGCAAAATCTTTTTGTTACCAAAGTCGGCCAGGATCAAAGAGTAACAAATGTTGTGAATAAGCACTTGTTTACAAGGGATTGAAGCGTAAACACAGGCGTAAATCTGGGTTAGTTTGTGTAATGTGGTAGATAAAGGCAATAAATGAGATACTTGTTTTTGATAAGTGCGGCGAAGCCGCCTTTAGACACTAGTCCTGCCTAATCCGCACACCGATGCCTTATGGCCTAGTGTTGTACCTGCACGGCGGTGCGCAGGTGCCAGGTAGGATACTCTCGTCGGTAGGTTCCTTTTTCGACATCCTCCCGCCCGTTGCGGAAGTATTGCCGATTCATTGCGTGAGCCACAGACCTAGCCGTTGTAGGTAGGGCACATTCTTCCTTCCTCTTTTGTTGCTTTTTTCTGGATAAATAGATCCATTGGTTAGTAATGGCAAGAATCCCGAAAGAAAAGACACCATCCACACTCCAATCATCGTCTACGAAGCCTCAGACACACCACTTGCTCGCTATTCTATTTTCGCAAACATCCGCAAAAACAGAAGAACAAAAGAAGTGAAATCCCCACGAAACCCAGCAATGAGCTCAGAGCCAATGGATATCCTCCTCGTAGGCCTTGGCGCTGTAGGTGAGTTCGCTAGCGCCTTAAGCAGGATTCGCGACTGTGCTTATATCTTTTTGACCGGTGATTCCTGAGGAAGTGTTTCTGTTTCATAACGATGAATGATATAACTTGTCCTAAAGGGGGGATCTATGCGTATGTCTTGGAGAGATCTCAGCGGTGTAGAGTGACGGCAATTACCAGATCGCTCTATGATTCCATCCAGACTCACGGCCTGACCATCAATTCGAAAAAGTACGGTCTGATTGAAAATTGGAGGCCCTATCGACTCGTCCGGTCAGCGGATGAAGCCGCCGATCGCTATTATCGATTTGTCGTGTGTTGCATCAAGTGTCTTCCTGATGTCGAGGTAAGAAACTTTCAAAAAAAAAAGTAACAATGGAACATGAACTTTCCACTGGGCACTGACGGCTTTGGTTGTGGAATTCTGCGATTGTGATATCCCCATTCTCGCCAAATCGCCCTTGGAATCAACGAGTTAATCAGCCCACTTCGGCAATTCTAGCACCTTTTTTATTACCCTGCCATCAAGCTTCCTCTGATGCTAGAACTCATCTGCCCCCCACAGTAGTGCTTTGCCAGTTAAGCCATTCCGAATTCATTTATTAAGTTTTTTTTCTGACTAGTTTTTTGGAACATTTTTATATGATAAAAAGAAATGGGATTGGGATAGAGCAATCATTGGCAGAAGCTTTTCCATCGGTTCATATCCTTAGCTGCGTAGCCTGGATTATGGCCACTTTGACTTCCCCATCTGTTGTCGAAAGTAGGACATCAACCCCACAAAATTGCTCAGTACAGCCGATCAATCCGGGCGGGCCGATTATTGAACATGACGCACTGGACCGTCTGGTCATAGGTCTTTATGAGGGCGAAGGGTTCGCCGAAAACCACGATGATCCCGATCAGCGGCCTTGTAATTGGTATGTTGAGGGCTTGTTGGATGAAGATGGGACTGCTCTCATCGGTGCCGCTCGGACGGAAAAACTTCAGTGTGGCACAAATGAGATGCAATTGTTTTTAGACGTCATCACCGCTGGCGGTTGTAAGGCTGAAGCTGTGGGGCACATCCAACCAGCCAGGTGGGCTAAGAATATGGTCAATGGAGCCTTCTCAACAATGGTACGATTTTCCATTTTGTCTAGTTTGCCATACTAGGTTAGAATAGCGCAGATACCCAGATATCAATGCTAAGATTTGTTTTCTTCGTTTCCACGGGCTATGATAGTGTACATTATCTCGTGCCTCAATAGCCCAGTTTCTAGCACCCGATTTCCTGCCGCATACACTCCCAGCAGTCAGAGAGACCATGGTAGAAATGCTTTGTGTTGCTAGAGCACTTGGTTATCGTGAGGCGGAACTCTCTGCCGAAACAGTGGATGAAGTCATCAGTTTAATGCTCCAGAACTCGCAGTCAAAGGGTAGCGTGTCAAGACTACCGTCGGCCCTAAAGGCATCGCCTGCAAATCAAGCAACTGATCGGAGGATCAATCCTGATGTACCCCCGGAGGATAAAGATCCGGATGGTACGGAAGTCAAGAACATAGGAGTTGATGGCCCCATGGAACAACCTTCATTCAAGCCAAGTATGTTAATCGACATGGAGAGGAACCGGCCTATAGAACTCGAGCCCATCATCGGAGCAGTCTTAGAGAGAGCCAAAAGTAAAGCTATTGAAACACCACGACTTGATCTGTAAGAGCCATTTATCAAGTTGATTTTCATTTTTGGGGCGATCAGCTAATAACAAAACGAACGTACAATTTTTGTCAGGTTGTACTCATTATTAAAAGTCTTACAGGCGCAAGTGATCCAAGGATATCCAACCGAACTACATATTCAACAATAGAGAATAATGTAAATCACCACAAGTTGGTAGATTAGTTTAGATCTTAATTGCACCACTGGTGTATTATTAGGAGCTCTGATTTGATCATCTTACTGTGTCCTGGGAATTGTCGAGAAAACAATAGATGGTTTGTTTGGAAATGTTGTTGGCTATGATTTCAATTCATTTCACTCCAAGGCTCAAGCCTCTTTACAAATTCATTTTCAACACTGCGTTGTCCCCACAAGTACTAGAGTATCCTGGAGTATCGCGTTGCGGGAGAGAGGGAGGCCAAATTAAGTCGGCAGAAGGCATTATTGAATCACATCTCTAGATGCTACATGAAAAAACAGAAGATTTTGTTACCGAAAGATCAAAGTAGTATTGCCACATTTGGACGTGCTTGTAGTTCAACTATTTCCGCGTGTGCACAGGGTAGAAGGGGATGGATGATTGCGTAAAACGGTTGTCAAGTATCGTTTATGATTGTGATATATACGCTGAGGAATACAAAAAAGTGCAGAAAGAGGAATACAGACTGAGAATTCTCTCATCAAGCGAAAGAGGAACTCCGGATCAGAAAGGAACTCCAAATCAGAAGAGAAAAGACAATAAGCGAGGACACAAAAAATGAATGGGGATTGATTGGTTACGAAGTTGCAAGGAAGAGCGGGGAGAGGGGAGTGGAACGAGCAAGAAGTAATCGAGTAAGGGAAAGAAAGATCAATGACAAAATTGTAAAAAACAACAACAGGGATAGATGTAGCAGCAATGGAACGCGGTGACAGTAATGTACATACACAACGAGTGCAGAAGTTAAACACATCAATAACGATTAAAAAGAAAAGAAAAGAAAAAAGTACATGAAGGCAGAAAAAATTGTTGAGTTTTTGTTCAAAGAAAAGTACAAAGAAAGAACAAGATCACGAAAAGCTCATGTTGTGGGTAAACTGTAAGAGAGAAAGAAATAAGGATGGGAAGTATAAGATCTTCAATGGTCACCGCCATTATCGTCCCACGAGTCTCTGAATTCCCATAGCGGACAATCGCCCTCCTCGCAATCCTGAGGCTGAGCGATAGGAACGATGGGCTCGTCGTTCTCGTTCGGACAATCTGATCCTTTATTTTTACGACCACTCCATGGCCATCGGAAGCCCTCCTCTTCAAGTTGCTTGTCATTCTCTTGACAATCGGAGGAGGTTGATCCTGGAATCCAGTCGGGTCTCAACACTTTATCAATAACCGTTTGGATTGGATGAGTCCTGATATCTTGCGCCCATTTCAATTTGCCGACAGTATCTGTTTTTTTTTTTTGCAAGTAACAGCAGATTGCAACGCACATATTTAATCAGATCATGTTTCCTTTCAACCTTCGATAATTAAGGCTTACCAAAAATTATTGATTGGCCCAAGTGACAACGAGTTTCGAGCGCATAACCAGCTACTGAACAGCTACTTAATGCGCCATTACAAGTGCCCATGGCGATTGGGTCTGCGGTATGGAAGACTTGAAAGACGTGACTCATTTCCTGACCTTTCCCGAAATTCGCGCCAGGCGGTAGGGGAAGATGGAGTCGTTGAGCGGGGAGTAGATCTCCTGGAGCCTCGAAACCCACAGCTGGTATTCCAAAGGTAACGCCTAATATTCCTGCCAGTGCAGCACCCAGACTGTGGCCGGCCAACCAGATTTGTGAGTGAGGATACATCCGTACTATGTCGTCGTACAGATCCACGGCTGCCTGGAAATACACCGATTTGTTCATCAACGCGCCCTCCACACAGCTCGCTCGACATTTGTTTGGCCCCTCGTAACAATCACAAACCGGCGACCAACTCCAACTGACTCTTGCACAACAACACGAGAAAAATAAGTTATCCTGCAATTGGACACCATCGGAATTGAAACATTTTTCGTCAGTTGGTGAGAATCACAGATGAAGCAGAGATCCAGTATATGCACATTCAATTTATCATTAACACCAGTCGAGCCACCATTCCCTAGCAGACCAGCAGATGTTCCTTTGATAGCGATAACGATAGTAGAATTATCGGGTGTAGCAAAGACGTGGCCTCTCAAGCCATCTTCTTCCCATCCAAAAGAGTCAGACTAAATAAGAATGCCAAAAAAGGTGTTAATTTAGACTTATCTTGGGAAAGAATTAAAGAAGTTAATGCATGTGCTGACTAGGTTCCAAGCTCCACCTGGGTCGTACCATCTATCGTCGCCCGGAAGGGTGTAAGCGTTATTGGTCATCATGGCCAGACTAGCGAGAGTCTCGATATCCGTGACATCAGGAAGCACAGTATCGAATTCGGACCAGTTCAATTGGCTATTCATTAAAGTGATATTGTTTGCCAAGATTTCAGAATGATCTTCAAAGTTCCTCAGGGATTTGTCGAGTAAAATTTGTCGTTGATGGGCGAGTTTCCACTGGTTGAGAGTAGCACGATGACTCCATACTTTCCCCTTGCGAACTTTCAAAGAATGAGAGGAAGGATAGTAGTGCTCGATAGGACTCCCGTCAGTTGTCGTTGCTGCAGAGTGAAGTGTGTTGCTCCGGATATCGATTGTTTCCCGGTCGGTTTGATTGAATATTCTCCTCAGGTGTAGACGACGGTTCTTATATTTTGTGATATGGACGGCTTGCTGGAGTTGAAAGACCGAGGAAGAGGGGGCAGGTGGTAATGAAGATGATGGCTGAGGATTGGATAGGAATGGGATCTGTAAGGAGTCGATTTGAATGATGAAGGTGGCGACCAAGGAGAGGAAGACGAAGTTCTTGTTTGGAGGCATCGTTCGAAGTTTCAGTGTTGGTAGGCTGTTTGCATCAAAGAATCAGTTTTTCGGTTCGTTCCAAGTTGTTGGTTCCTCTTGACCAACTGGTCTTCACAGCAAATCCAGCCAAATGGACCACATGCCAGAAAAAAAAAGGTCAAATCAGAGTCCATTACGTAATCAAGCACTCAGGTGGTCACACGCTGATCCGGGTTTGACCACCTCGTTGCTCTGGTCCGCCACTCCGGAACTATCCCTAACCCGATTCGGAAATCTGATTAACACCATTCATGATAAGCTCTAGCTCCCCATGTAGCAAGATACATTTTATGTAAGTTTATTGTGCGGATGAGGGTTTCAGTCACTAAACAGCTGCTGGGAAAACTTGTGTTTTTGGATTGCCTCCTCAAATTCCCTGGAATTTTGACTCAAGCCACGGTCATTACCTTAATCGAGGCCTATGCCGTTTCATGTGGCTGTTACTGCGCAAATTGTTACTCCAAAAATAGGGCCCTAAAGAGAGTGGAGGACTTCCCGTCGGAATCTGCGGGTCCCCCAGAACCAATCTAGAGCCTCAAAAACCAAATTCCCCTGCGAGAATCTAGAATTTTCGAGTCTAGATCGACTTCTGCGAGGGCTCCAGTTCGCACGGGAAGTCCTCCAGTACTGGCAATTCAACTGTCTAAACTTTAGGGCTCAAAATTGGAAAATGGAGAAATACATGGTATTTCTCTCTATTACCCTTCCAACCATTGATCTACAGATGAACTAGCCTCCAGGATGTTTTTTAAATGCTCACAGGATCAACTTTCAAGTAACAGGTAGCTCAATTCCAACTTTCCAAGAAAACACAACAATTATGGGGGCCAATGTACAATTTAAATATCTCAAAAAAACATCTGCTTGCCCTGCCCAAAAAGATTTTGTGATAACAAAAAATACACTGCAAGAAAAAGTCGGGCAACTCATGTGTGTAGTTGACATGTGATATTACATGTGATATTACAAAGGCACCTTTGTAATATCACATGTCAACTACACACAGTTGCCTGACTTTTTCTTGCAGTGATAAATGCATAAAAATAAATACAATATCAAACAACTTTGGCTGGAATTGTGTGAGCAGGTCCTAGCAACGGTGAAACAATACGGTATCCGCCATGTATCCCATGCATCACTCCATGTATTGGAACCCTAATGAAAAAAATTATCTGACCAATGCACTTTTATTTGCAAAAGATGCAACACATTTGGTTTTTGGCCATGCAGCTTTGTGCAGTTCTCCATGATACACACAGTGTATTGTATCAGTTACATCGTTGGTCCTAGCCAAAGTCATTTATGCTGTTATGTTTGTGAATTCAAGCAGTCAAATTTGAATTCCTAATAGGGGGGTTCACAGTAGAAATTTACATATCTTTTCAAGCCCATTTTAAGATGTTTTTCAACATCTCTTTGAAAAATGAAAATTTTACTCTGATGGTTCAGAAACCCCAAAATCTGCACGTCTTGCTAAAACTCTAAAACTTTGCTGATAAGGATGTTAAAAATGGCTATAAAAACTTGATGAATTTCCAGTTTGAGCCCCTGCCCCCCAACATATGAATCATGAGTGAGTCTGTGGTACACTATTATGGATTGATTTCAAGAATTTTCTCCTTTGCTTATAAATCAACCTAATATCAGAATCTATATCACATCCCTGCCCCATTGCATAGCTTACATAGAATCTGACAACAAAAATCATCAGGCTACAACAAGGTGAATAAATTGATTCATCAAGAAGTAATTGATTTGATTTCACCTATCAAGCCTGGCTCTCAAGTTGCGGGTCTCTGACCCTCGTCCAGGCGTTAGACCGCCTGGACGTGCCCACAAAGATGCTCTAAACTCGGGGAATCGGAACTAAGTGAGGGCAGGAAAACATGATGGAGACATGAGTCTGCTCGTTAGTTTTGAAGATTGGGTTCCTGGTTGCCATCCTTTTAAAAACAACAAGAAGTCAAGGTCATCGCGTTGCGCCCTCCCTAAATGTCCATGGGCAATTTCCCACCCAGCTCGATTTGAGAAATCTGGGTGCCAAAGTCTCTTCAAAGTCGCGATCCTCGATGTCGATGCCAATCTGTTTGCTGCATGAAAGTGTGGTTTACAGCTTTGTATGTCCGGATAGCTTTACACATAGTTCTTGCGGTAGGGTTGTTCTTAAGACAGGGCATCCTGCTTCGGGGCATTATCCGCCCTGAAGACTGCACGAAGCTGGAAACTAGTCGATTGAGAACAAAGGCTAAGGGGAAAAAAATATGATGCTTAAGCTTTTTAGTCAACTTTTCAAACGCAAAAACCAAGAGTCAACTTACAAAGACCTACTTGCCCATCGGTTATCAAAACAAAGCCAACAGAAAGGAGGTATTTTGCAATTGTCTTTGACAAATCAAGCAACTCAATCCCGTGAAAATTTATCCAGACTCCCCATTTTCTTTTTTGATATGGCTCCCTGTTGTAACAATCGCGCCGATAAAAAGATAAATCATTCGTCCAGTTGAAATCAAATCATGCATTCCGCGAAGGCAAACATCCGAGGAAACATGACATGCAGAAAACTAAGCAATTTTTGATAGTTTCGTATAGGCTCAGCCCTGCCTTTTTTCCGATGGTCGGGCTATTCTATCAGCTGATGCCTGCAATCGAGTTTCTGAGGGGTAGAGTTTATACATGAAGGCATCATGCTTGGGGAACAGCCAAGATGACACAATCCGCGAGTTACGGGCTCTTACCAGTTCAATTGAAGCCCTGAAGATCTGTTGATTGACTCCTTTCGCATCCCCCTTTGACTCAAAGGCTCTGCTACACTGGTAGCTGCTAAATCATCTTCCTCTACTGAATCACCCCATTGGTGTATCCGTTGAGGAAAAAGTCTCGCTGGCAAATACCTTACTACGATTGACGCTGCAAGAGAACAGCTTTCTGGCTTGGGACTGGAATTACTGATTGATAAAGACAGTCTATTCCCCCGACGGTCTTCCCACTTCCAATCACTTCCTCAGGCGCTTCTTCTTTCCCCTGATTCAACCCTCCCCATCAGGTAAGCTAACTACCTCCTTTGGAACGCTTACCCCTTTCAAAAGCCTCACGGCCTTTCATTCCATCCTTTTTTGATGCTTACAATCAATCACTTCCTTCGTTCTCCTCCACCCATTCTCATCCTTCCCAAAGGATGTCCGAAAAGATAACTCGACAGAGACTTCCCTTCATTACCGAACGGGCCAAGAGGCAATATCTTCGTGACCTATACGCGAAAGCATGTCCAGAGCCTGGAGCTCCGATCGGCCCGGTTCGCCACCCAAGGGTCCATATGCTTGTGCGTCGCAACAACCCAAATCAGTTTGCGCTCCATGGTACTCCCTCAAGGCCAGCACCGAGTTCTCAAGGGATGCTTGGCAGGCGACGCCGACCAGCTGTCACTCGACTCCGTCCATCTCGGCAAAGGAGGCGCCGGTTTCAATATCGCCCATACCCCCCTGTCCGACGCAACCGAGTCAGAGGAGCTTGAATCGGAGTAAGCTTCCCTCTCTGATATTGACATGACAGAATGAAGAGCACTGACTCGAAACCCCGGCTTTAGAAAACCGCGATTCGTCTTTTTCTTGCTTGGATTCTTTTTATCTTTCATTTTCAAGGAGCCGATAAGGATGTTGTGTTACTACTTTTCAACATTTCTCCCATTCCAGTGTCAATCCTACAAACTCGCTTTTTGATATTGTCATAGATCATCTCTTGGGATACTTGATGACCAGTTTGTCTCCTTCACTTTCAGGAGAAGAGAGTATAGAAGAGAGTATGCTACCTGCAAATAAGAAAGAAACTCGGCCCCAATAAAGTGAGATTTGGGCCGATCGAACGCTTTTTGTCAGCCCGAGTGCATCTCGTCTGCATGATGGTGGCAGAACACTTCTGGATATTAACCAAATGAATTGGGCTACGCTTCGCTGAAAGATATGAGTGAAGCGATTGCGTTGCGAGAAGAAGTGGTAAACTTCCAGGTTTGAGGGCCGAGGGAGTTGGTTTCTCCGAATCGGAGTGCTGTGCCTGTGACACTGAGTGGACATGTGCCTTCCGCCAAACCCCATTTTGTCAGATCAAGGGGCCAGCTCTCAATTTGGACCAGACTCCTCTCATTTCAACCTACACTTCTCTGAGTCTCATCTTGAATTGAGCTTCTCCACCCTTGAATGAAATTACTCCTTTTAATCAGATTTCTCTCACCTTGATCCAGCCTTCTCAAATTTACCTCAAGGCCTCTCTCATTTCCAGTGAAGTTTCTGGGTAGATAAACATGTTTTCCTATCATTATGTGTGACAATATATCAAGAATTGGATATGGTGTTGATGGGATGATTACATTTTTTAAATGGAAATTACAGGCTGCTGCCAATTTTGCGTCAGCAATGGTGTGAAAATATCAATTTTCAATTTGACTAGTCATATTTGAAAGGGTTCATGACTTTCAAGGTAAAGTATGATTACAGAAGGAAAGATTGCACCTAATTTGGATCTTATTTCTCAAAATTGATACGTGCCACATGGAACTAAGATTACATGAGAAAGAATTTTACTGGAACTGTTTGAGTTATTTTCTTTGTCTTAGAATGGCAGGCCTGGTGGTCTAATCACCTCATCTGAATAATTTAATTCTAAAAGCATCCCAGATTTATCTGAGTCCGGCTGTGATGAAAGTTTTTAACACTTTATCATCGAAGTCTTCATTTATTTTTGAGTACTTAGAATGTACCAACCTCTTGGGATAAACTGAATTCCAAATCTGTCAACAGACATGATGTGAAGCAACGGTGCCACAGAGACGATACGATACGGTATCAGGCGTTTATCTGTATCGTCTCAGAATTTGAATACCCAAAAATACCGGATTTGTGTTGTCTCACTTTCCTGAGACATATACATGTATCGTATTTGAAAAGTGAGAAATGTATTCTGTATCGTCTCAGATGACTGATCCCACCAAAACCGTATTTGATACTTAAGATATTTGGCCGTATTGAAGAAAAAACGAAAAAAACAAAGACAATTTTTTTTTTCATTTTTAAATCCAAATCCGATACAATTAATTTTTCACCAACCAAGGAAATACTGATACCGGTATCAGGCTCAAAATAAATACGATACGATCCAATACAAATACATGTCTCGTATCTGTTGCACCGTTGTGTGAAGTGTCATTACTTCAATTGTAAAATTGGGAAAAAGTCTGCAAATTGGGATAAACTGATTTGATCTGATGTGGAGAATTGGATTGAGTCACAGGAGTTTGGTCAAAATGCATCCAAACCTTCCTTGAAAACAAGACATCAAATTAGTGCTTTGAACTAGCAAAATGACACAGCTCTGAAGGGGCTAATTACTCTAGTTTTGATTTCCAACTGTGGAGATCAATTATAATCAGCATAGACTATAGTTAAGTTCTTTTAGCAAGTTTTCGGAAAATTTTCAGACAGATCCTTATTTCTCCATCTAGACCTCATCACTTCATTCCATTCAAGTTTTAAGCGCTTTGTATGGAGGTTTTTGTTCTTAATTTCAACTCTATGATTTTTCATTTTCCGTCTTGGCATCTATGGTGGCCCAAATAGCGCGATTAATAATCTGGCAGTTGATTGAGATTGTGTTATAAGTGATTGAGTTGGATACTCATCCTGGCTTGTATTGCCTCAAGATCTGGGGAAATTAAAGCCAATGTGCAAGTTGTTGAAATATTCTGATTGTGGCCTATCCTAAGGATCGATATATTACATGACGACACAACTTGTACCACTTGAGTCAGCGGAGCATTTGATGGATCACCGGCAATGAGCACAACTATAGACGAGCTTGTGCCCTTTTTGACCAAAGAGCATGCGTATATGAGCTTGCACGCTCGAAAGTCCAGCAACTTATGTAACTCGATGATAGCCTGAAGGAACAAGGTGGTTAAGGGTTCCTAGATTTAGCAAAAAGCGAGGCGACGCTCACGATTTGAAGGTATGTATAGTGACGGTAAACTAAATCACATGGGGGCAGAGTACACATGCAGATCAAAAAACGACCAGAACTTCCTCTATTCCACACAAAGGTAATCATGGCGATACAACACGGAGTTTGAGGATATGAGAGGAGTTAAGTTGTGAGGTTCATGATCGTTTTGTCGTCACAACGTCGTAAGAAGTGCCCCTGATGGACCGACCATTCATGCTACTTCTAACGTTATGCTCGAATGCGATCCGATCGTTCCTCAGATCGTTGGCAGCCTCTGGAGAATCAAGAGTTGAAAGAGTACAACAAGAAAGAAGTTATATCCAAGTTATAAGTCTTCGTTCTTGTCAATGGAGATTTGAGTGACGAACCCTTATTCAATGGATCATCTGCGTTGGGCTCCAAAAACAGGTACTGTAGCCCAACTATGACCGCATTCAAGTTCAACACCGGCTTCCAATCTTCTCTCAAAATGTTGAGGCACACGTTCCCCTCAATATCGACGTTCGGATGGTAGATCTATTCAATCATTCATGTCAATTCAAATTGGAAATTAGATAAGGTGTGATTAGTATCCAACTCTGTCTTTCTTTCTGTAACAAGAAAAGACGCACCTTTTGGGTACACTTCACCTTGGGTGGCTCGTGAGGGTAATTTAAATTGATCACAAAGTTGAAAATAAACGAGCCGCCTTTGTACATTCCTGGGCGACGACCACGAGCAATGCAGATAAGCAGAAACCAGAATAAAATAAGCCGCTGCTTAAAGGGTCACAAGAGATTAGTTTGAAGCGCGAGAACAGACCTTCATCTGGCTTGATGGTCAGTGTAAAGTTGAGGAGATCGGTAGGATCAGGGAAATGTGTGGTCATAGTTGAAGGAAGCTCGAGCTCGGTGAGATCTAAGATAAAAATGAGGAAACAGGGTCAGACCTGTCTATCACGATGAATTAGTAGTATCCTGAAATCACGTGTTGTATGGTCAAGATTACTAGGTGCATATCAAGAAGAAGAAGCAGAAGAAACCGTCACCTTTTTGGACTCGGATCTGAGCTGCACTCGTCTTGGGCTTCTTCTTGGCAGCATCCGATTCGGCTTTCTTCAATGACCAGATCTACGAGTTCGTTTTGTATGTTTTATTCAGAAAGATTCAGTAGGATGGATGAGAATGAGATGTTGGCTGATGAAAAGTCACACATACCTTAATCATTTTCGGTTCTGAATAGGGGTGGTAAGGGTCGTAGAGGTGGACGAGACGAATTGGATGTGAGTGGGCTTGAGGAAATGGGGAGTGTTGCAGTTCCCCCGGCGGGTCCTGTGTATCTTTTTTGTAGGGGATGTTGGATTTGCTGTGGAGACATCCTAGGGTTCCGATCCGGACCCCGCAGATCCGGCAAGATCCGGAAACCCCGCAAACCGGATCAGGGCTCGGGATCGACCCAGAGAGATCCGGCATCCGGTCGGATGCTGAAAACCCCCATAAGTCGGGGATTTTCGGGGATTACCCGCATCAAACCCGTTCGGGGGCCTAGCTGCTGCACCTCAGCTCTAACTTTCCCGCCCTGACCCCCTTTTTTCACAGCAGAATAGCAAAAAAAACATAAAAAAAAATATCCTAGACATCCGGAGAAACCCGGCTAGGTGCCGGATATCCGCGGGGTCAGGGTTCGGGATGCATGGAATCCGGCTCCGAGGCACCGGGTCGGAACCCTAAGACATTTTTTTTTTTTTTTTTTTTTTTTTTTTTTTTTTAAAAGTGCTATTGATTTCACATACCGCACTATTTATCTACTATGTGTTATGTATATACATCAGGTATCCTCTAGTGTATTGGAATGTAACATCAAAATAAATTAGATGTGGTCGGCAAACGTGTAGAACTGTCGTGTGTATAAATAAATGGAGAAGAAGACATAGGAAAAAGAAGAAGGAAAGGAAACAGAAAGAAGATGTGTTAAGAGAGAGAAAGAAGAGACGTAACAAGGGGGAATATATGTAGATCTGAAGAATGAGATAAGAACTTGGAAAGAATGAAGAAACTGAGAAATCAGAGACTAGAGAGAAAAGGGAAGAAGATGAAACGCTTAGGGCTTTGGAGAACCCAGCCCATCATCCCATCCCACCAAGATTTGAGTTTTTCCGAGCGCGTCTAGGCCCCCGCCAACCTGTCGCAGCTTCTAGGAAATAAGGGATCCTCAGATCATCCCCCAATAATCTGAGGTCCATCGGTCTTCAGGGAGTTTGGGCTGGATTTCCTAGTCCTTTGCAAGTACATAAGAGGTAGTTTGAGGGTGAGGTGATTTTTATAAGAAGCAAACAAAGAAATGATTGGGCTAGTAAAGAAAAAAGGGAAACCTGGGATAAAAATTTTAAAATTTCAAAGGAAAATAAACTGATGAGTGAGAGAAGAATTTCGTAGCGAAATGGAAATCGATTAAGTAGATTGTGTGATTGTGTTATATTTCCGGATGTTGGGGAATCGGTTTGATGCCACGATGAATTCGGCCACTTCCTCCATTGCTTTGGGTTTATCCATAATTGACTTGAACGAGTCTGGATTTACACCACACCTTAGCCGTCGTAGGTTCCTCTTGAGGGTTGCCCGAGCTTTTTTATACCTGGTGCAAAACATAAGAAAGTGTGCTGCGTTCTCTTGAACAAAACAATTAGCACATCTCGGATCTAAAACACTTTTAATTTTAAACAGAAAGTTATTTAGAGGGGCATGATCCGCTCTGAGCTGTAAAATTGTTGCTGTTAATCCTTTTTCTTGTTGATCGAGAGCGTCAATTAGTCTTGTGTTGTCTCTGGAGAAGGGGAAGCGTTTGGAATCTTCCTCCGACCAGTTGTCGAGGGGTTGTATTTGGAGTCGACTAAGTGTTTTTATTTTGGCCAGGCTGTCTGGTACCGCTATCGAGAGGTGGGTGTTTCTATGGGAGGGAGGCACTTCTGTTGTGGCCCTTTTTGCAAGAGAGTCGGCTGTTTCATTCGCTTTCACCCCTTCGTGGCCAGGGCACCAATACAGTCGGACGGGGCAACCTAGTAATTTCATACGAAAATAATTATCAGCGTATAAATGCTGTCCTGGGGATAACGATAGCGGGTCTGCAGAGAGCCTTAGGGCGCCCTGATTATCGCAGAAAATGGCAATCGCCGTGTATTCCTGTGAAAGGTCAGCTTCAAGGGTTTCTTGTGCCATGGTAATGGCAAGGCTGATTCCAATTAACTCCGCTTCGAAGTTGGAGATGGAGTCTGCTGGGTTGATGGACGCCGTTCGGCTTTCCCCCGCAGGGTGAGCTACTGCAGCCGCTCCCGCTCCTTTTTCGGGGATCCAAGAGCCATCCGTAAAAATTACCAGGGTATGATCCTGTAATTCTTTCTGGAGCTGGTGTGGGATGGTTTGGAGCACCTCTTCTCTCTTTCCCATCAGGTTGTGTATTGCTGCAATTGGTTCAATCCAAGGCGGGGCCGGTACAGGGGAGATGGTTTCTGTCTTTTTTACCGGAAAGCTGTATTGACTGTTAGGTGTCAAAATTAGGTGAATTGGGCTTGGAAAAGAAAGTTGTTTTCCTGTTAGTTCTGTTAGTTCTTTTTCCAAAATGAGCAGCGCAGGATGGGAAGAAGGGTATGTCAGAGCGCGGAGAACATAGGAGTGGGTGTTTCGGAGGTGTATTTCTAGTGGAGTTTTCAGCCCGCTGCTCTTTTTGACAAAGATTAGGGGTGTTTGTCTGAACAAGCCAGTTATCATCCGGCAAGCCCAATGGTAGATACCGTCTAGGACCTGTGCCACCGATTTGGCATTTTTCTTGTTGTACCAGATGATACTTCCAAACATAACCCTTGAGTACAGGACTGCCACTATCAGTCTTCTCGCCAGTCTCATGTTCAATCCGTATGTGGATTTTATGAGTCTGTCGAGCTGCAAAATGGTCAAATCCCCGGTAGACTTGACTTTTTTCAGATGTTCGGAGAAAGTGAGTCGCTGGTCGAGTATGATGCCAAGCCATCTAGTCGTTTTTTGGAAAGTGTGGGTGTGGCCGTCGAAATCGAAGGTTGGAGGCGATAGGGGTTTGCAAGAGAAAAGCATCAGCACAGCTTTTTTGGGATCAAAGATTGCTCCAAATTTCCTGCCCCATTCTAGGGAGCGGGAGGCATCTTCCCGCAGCATCTCTACCGCTTGCTCCATAGAGTCAGCGGCCGCCAGGTGGACAATATCATCAACGTATCCAATGGAGATCCTGGGTTCTTCCAGGGAGCATTTGTTGTGCAAAAGAAGTCCGCTGTTGTACAAGATGTACAGAGTAACCGATAAGGGAGAGCCTTGCGGAAGACCTTCCTTTACTGGAAAGGGGGACGATACATAGTCACCCATTCTAATGGAGGTGGATCTATCGGCTAAGAAAGAGGAGATGACTTTTATCAGGTAGTCTGGACAGGAAAGCCGGTGGAGCTG